AAATGTTTCCACTACATATTGAATGAAGCAATCAAGAGTACCAACTACTGCTATCATCAGTAATTTTGGTAAGCAGTGCCAGAATTTTCTGAATGAAAAGAACTAACCCAAGTCATCAGAGCCAAGTTGTATATGTTCTCTTTTCCCAGCTTTTTTTAATGATGCCATCTTACTGGTCTCTTCTCTACCTGGTTAACCAGCCACATTCTGCCCATACTTAAGGGTATGCACAAATATCTTTCCCCTTTGCTGAAATTTTATTGTACTTTCTGTCTTCACATCTCATCTAGACCTGTCATTTCTGTTACTACTTGTTTTCTTTTTTTACTGACTATGCCAGAATTTCCTGCAAGATGAAGGAATCAGCTAAACGATACCTCTTGGCGGTACTTTCAGAAGATCCAGAAGTTGGGACAGTCGGCAGTTCAACTGGCCACAGCAGATGCTCAATATATACTGTCTTGAAAGAAGACAGAAGACAGTATCGTGAAAAAAGAGTGTGGCATATGAAATAATGTCTGTGATATGTATAAATATTAGATCAATTTCATGGTTCTGGTCTAGAACCTGATTTAAACAAACTAGGTATAAAATACTTTTTAAGGACAATGACAAGAGGAAAATTTATGAGCCAGGGATTATTAACTCAAAAATAAATAAATAAAAAGTAGTGAATAAGCCAGTGCAGTACATGATCTCCTAGAAGAGAGATTTGGAAAGATATACCTAAGAATATAACAGTGAAAATCAACTGGCACTGGGTGAGATCTTTTTAATCTCAATTTTTTGCTTCTCTGGATTTTCTAGTTTCCTGCAATGTTCATATACTGCACTTATAATCATAAAAGGTTTCTTTTAAGAGAGAAATTGCCCTACATCGAGTTCTCCCTTCTCAGCCTCCTGTCTGCTAACACTCCCATATTCCATGTTAATCTTCCCACGATCGCCCCAGGACCCAGCCAGGAAACGGAGAGAAATCCTACACAGGCGTCTCACTCTGCCACCATAGATTCTATACCCTGAACATTTCTCCAGCCTGTCCATTTGCACCTTCAAACCTCAATCCAGCCTTTATCACCTCCTGCTGAGAGAAAAACAATTGCTTCCCAGCCAGTCTCCCTCTTGAGGAGGCAGGTTCTCTTCCCACCAGCCACCAGAGGGGGCAATCTAAAACCGAAGTCTGGCAATCACAGCCGCTTGCTTAAAATCCCTCAGTGGCTCCACATCCCCCAAAGGATGTGGCCTGGGCTTGGTTCGGGGTGGGGAGCCTTCGGGGTCCAGCCCTTGGGGTTGTTGTCCCTCACCCCTTGCTTCGCACAGCCCGAGCCCCACATCACCAAACTGCGCCATCACTAACACACTTTGTGCCCTGCTCTTTCTCTTTTTACTTCCTCTTTCTTTTAAATGTCCCTTTCCTCCCACCCTCACCTACATAGGGCGCGGTCCTATACCCCAAGAATTATTTCCCCAGCGTCCCTTCCCGGATAGGCTGTCACCAGCCCGAGTGCCCTTCCTCATGCTCTCGGGGTACCATGCAGGCTTCTGCTCTTGCATTTGCCACGTAGCCGACTGTCCAGAAATGAAGCGTTGATGCGTCGGCCTCTCCCACTAAGCCAGCAGCTGGGGACTGTGGAGTCTGCCATTCAGAGACATGGTCGGTGCTCACAGACATTTCAACAGCTGATCGTATCGGTGAGACCCTTCCACGAGCAGCTGCAGGGCTGGGATTCCTCTACCTGCTGTAGGCTGCTGCCGTGGCCCAGAGCATGCCCAAGAAGCAGCACCCGGACCGCAGACAGGAAGCTGCCCTCAAAAAGAATGAAGCCCGCTGAGAGACGCTCACAGCCGGCTCTGGGTTCTGCTGGATTGGGAGGTGACTGGAAAGGCACCAGGCCCCTGGGTTCCAGATGGCCGCCCGAGCCGACCCTTGGGCCGTGGCTGAGTCTCCCCGCTTCCTCCCTGCCAACCCTGCCTTCCAGAGTGCATCTTCTCCAGAACTTGGCCCACTTGATTCAAACTTCCGGCGCGCTATTTAGTCCCTGAGATGGGCGGTTGGACAGACTGAGCCTGCTGGCCAGTCGCTCCCTTGTCACTGCGAGACAGCGAGCTTTGTCTTTGCAGCGACATCGAAAGCTCCCCAGGGACAGGTCCGGGCCCTTCCTGTGTCCTTGGCTCGCTGTTCGTGCCTTACTCAGCACTTCGCGTGCAGCGAGCTCTCAGCCCGTCTTTGTGGACTCACTTATATCCTGAGTGCTATCTTTTGAATCACTCTGTTTTGTGCTCTATCTGCCAACGTTATTTTTAACTTTTCCAGAACAGCCCTTATCCTAATCAGTGATTAGTATCTTTCACCATATCTCCATCCGTAGATGGCTTTAAAGTCTGATTTCAGTCCTTTTCGTCACATACCTCCATTCATGCAATTCTTGTCTGATTTATGGCTTAGTGTTTCATTTAACTTTTATTAGTACAGGTTTGCAGCACATAATGATTGCATTCATACTGGGGAGTCGATAACCTATACAACACATCTTAATTCTTTTTACTTCTTCTTCTCCACCCTGTCCCCCAGAAGAGGAAAAGGAAGTAAAGAGAATCTCTTGGTATTTTGCAACTTTTGAGCAAATCACACTAGACCATGTATATTTTGGATATGTGCCTTTTTGAAATTTTTCAGTTGCTTTCCACTAAATTACCAAATTCTTTCTGCCAAGATCTCTAGATGTTGCTCTATCATCTCTTATCTCTTATGTTCTACTCTGGGGGAGAAGAAATCTTTTGGGGTGTCTCTCTAAGTTGCTAAGTTGCCTATGCTGAGCTCAAATCTGAGATCCTCCTGCTTCAGCCTCACATAGTGCTGCAAGAAGAAATCTTAAACTCAGCTGGCCTTAGTTCTTGTAGATATAATATCGTCCAAGCATTCCCTGCTCCCACTTCCTAGAAGGGCGGACTGAATGTCAGCCATGTGGTCAGGCCGGGGCCTGGATTTCTCATACTAGGGTCCTCTGAGGCCTGCTGAATCACTCAGATACTGGGAAGAGATGATATGAACACCCGAGGTTGAAATCCCTCACTGAGGCAAATGTCTCAGAGTCCAGAACAAGAGGATGGAGTAGACGAGCAGGTCAGGAGGACATTCTGGTCCCTCAGGCAGGAGCCAGCAGGTGCATGATCCAAGCACAGATGAGCCGGCCAGCATTCAAGGTTGGGGTACAGACATGAAACCCTTTCAAACTTAAACATTCGACTACAACACATACTTTGTTGTTCCGCTGTCTTTGGAATATGCATAGTGTATTTTCCTTCCTTTTCCTGGCCTCTGTCCTCCCTATAATTGCTCACTGTAGGCTTTTTTTCTTAGTTTTAAGATTTAAAACTTAAATACCACTGGAGTTATAAAAGGTTTTCCCCTCTATTTTCTTTCATTTGTTGTTTCTACACTATTTGCTCCATTTACTTTTTTCATACAACAGGTTATAGATTTGTAACTCTACATAATCTATTTTTCATATCTGTCACTTTACTCAAAATATTGTCTTTGGAAGAAAACATGGGAAAATATCCTTATGGCTTTGACTTAGGCACAGAATCCTTATATGGGGGGATAAAAAGCACAAACCATAAGAGAACACATAAATTATAATTCTATGAAAATTAATAGTATTTACTCCTTGAAATCACAATTTATAAGGAAGAGGCAAATCAGAGATTGGAATAAATAAATACATATTATATCTGACATATTTAACATATATTACATATTGTCAGGCATCATATATCTAACAAAGGATTTGTAACCAGAATATTTTTTAGAACTCTTAAAACTCAGTAACTAGACACGTAATCTAATTGGAAAAATGGGCATAATGGTTTTTATTGGACATTTACAAAAGAAGAAAAAAAATCAGTGGCCAATTACCACACTCAAGATGTTTAGTATCATCGATCATTAGAGAAATACAAGTTACCCATAATGAGATGCATGTCCACTCGAATGGCTAAAGTGACTAGTGAGACAAAGTACAAGGGAGGATGTGGCATAGCCAATACCCTCTTCTATTGCTTGTGAGAGTGTAAAATGCTACAATCTCCCTGGAAAACAGTCTCATGATTTCTTAAAAATTAAACATGCATTTATGATACATATGTACCAACATACTGATATTTTCACCCCTAGGTACCTACTTGAACTGAAATACATGTCCACATAAAGACTTTTATGTGAACGCTTATGGTAGCATTGTTTACAATAATCCCCCAATGGAAACAGCCCAAGTATTTATCTATGGATAAATAAAAAGTGGTTTGTCAATACAAGGGACTCAGCAACAAAATAAATGCACTAGTAGGATGCACAATTTGTCTATGCCCATACCACCCAAACGTGCCTGATCTCATCCGAAACGCTCAGCTTGAATGTATCTTAGAAACACCACACTAAGCGAAAGCACACGCACTACATAATTCCATTGATAAATATGTCTATGAAAGCAAAATTACAGTGCCAGAATGCAGATCAGTGGTTTCCTGGGGCTAGGGCTGGATGGGAATGGGAACTGATTATGAAAGGGCACAAGGTAAGGTCTTGGTGGTGACAAAAATGTTCTGAGGCAGCCAGGAGCAGTGGCAGATCCCAGCCTGGACAGCTTAGTAACTTAGTGAGGCTGCATCTCAAAAATTGAAAAAAAAAAAAAAAATTAAAAACGGCTGGAGATACAGCTCAGTGAGAAAGCCATGGGTTCAAGTCCCAGTTCCAAAGGAAAAAAAAAAAAGGAAGAAGAAGAAAAAGAAAAAGTGTGAAGTTTGTTGTAGTTGTGATGATATACAACTTTGCACATTGACCAAAACTCATCAAACTGTACACCTAAAATTGGCAATTTAAAGTCAATTAAACTTCAACGAAACTGTAAAAACAAATCCTTCTTGCTCTGAATCATTTCCTTGAGCTAGTCATCTGTACATGGTTCATTTTCTGATTTTCTACAGCGTTAGGTCTGCTTTTTATTGCTTTCAATTTCAGTTTTATTACAGTTCATGGGAGGGCACGTGTGTGTCTATTCCAAATATCCTCTTTTATTGAGAACTAAGGAAATATTAACTACATCGCTCTTCTGTTTCATGAGCAAATCTATTCCATGAGGTGGGGGATGGATTTTTCTCTAGGTATTTATAGCTTTGCGGGTGAACTTTTCCAGAATTCCATTTGTCGACTCCTTTCTCACCCTCGGGATTGGTCGGCTCTTCTCTGGCGGCTGCGACGGGAGGCCCTTTCCACAGCCTGGGAGGCCAGAAGAGCAGTCTGCGGCTGCGCGGAGGACGGGTGCGTGGAGCGGAAGGCGGGAGTGCACGGAGCAGAAAGCCGGGCCGCTGGAGGCTTTGCACCCAGCCCCTGGCCCGCAGGACTCCTCGGAGAACAGCAAAGCAGGGTGGTGCTGTGAAGCCCGGCCGCGGGGTTCAGAGAGCCAAGGTAGGAGCTGGCCGAGGAGAGCACGGGCAGAGGGATGGCGGAGAAGGGCGCTTCTGAGGGCGCCGGGGCGTCGGGCTGCCTCTAATCTCAGGGACACAACCTGTAACTAATTTTCTGCCCTGCACCTGAAAAAAGTGCCTGCTATTAGAAAAGGCTCCTTAAACCCCAATTCTCTTTATTTGTTGTGCAGTTCATCCCAGCCCTTGTAATATTCTTTTTATTTTGAGATGTGGTCTAGCTAAGTTGCCCCGTCTGGGCTTCAACCTCGAAATCCTCCTGCCTCAGCCTCCAGGAGTGCTGGGATGACGGGCGTACACCACCACATTCAGCTTCAAACTCAATTCTTTTCCTCTAAATTCCACCCTATCTGCGCCTCTGCTCCCTTTCTTACTCCTAACGGCAAGCAGCTGCCCATTGCATTCCAGTACAGCTCTGTCTCCTGAGATGCTCCCGTCTGTTTCCTGTGGCCTCTGGGCAGGCCCTGCCCTGCCAGCCACTGCTCTGAGCTGTTGTCCAGTTTCACTTACGTGAGCAGGAAAAACCAGCAGCAGCAACCAGAAGGGTACAGAAGCCTCTCAATTGACCTGCAAATGTAGCTGGAAGGGGAGCAATAGGAATGTCTTAGAGGATAACCCCAGACAGCAGGAGGGCACAAAGGATTTGAAGAACAAATAGGCGCTGAAAAGAATCTTATGAAACAAGCAGCATCCGCGGATGAAAAGAGAAAGGAAGACACAGTCGTTACCAGAGGACTCCTCGAGGCTGGCGGATTGCTCTGGCTCCATGCCAGGGGCACACGATGCTCTGGCTGGGATCATCAGAGCTCTGCTGTTCAACACTCGTCACATGTGTGCTGAAAATGTGTTCTTTCTCTGGGTTTGAGGTGACAGACAGCCATACCACATGCCATCCCTTTTTCCATGTCGGCCTCAGCCAGGCAATCAACCAAATCATCACCCAGTCTGTCTCAACCATGTGGTTTTCCTAGCCAGCTGAACAAAATATTTTCAGAATGTGGAATGTAAACAAGGCTCCTACTGTTAGCAATTCTGTGTCATTTACTTGTGGTTTCTTTTATTTTACTTTAAGTCACATTTAAATTCAAAAGATTGCCAGCCTGCATGGTGCATGTAAACAAATCAGAAATATAGATTAGAAACTGCAACTGATTAGTTAGTTCATTGTGAAAGTATCTGCATAAATGGAAGAAGAGGGAAAAATCTATTATGCTCCTGGGATATTGCTTCTCCACAGGAAATTCAATTGTGAAGAGGGCTTTAAAAGCAATGACTTTAGTCATTTGTGTTTTCTACACACTGGTTACAATAAATGCTAATAGAATACCTAGGCAGAACCTCTGCTGGGCTCCGATGAGACAGTGCTCAAGGAAAAGCCAGGAGTGATTCTGAGAGTGAAAAGTCCTATGAGTACATATTAGCAGATGGTGATCACAGAATGTGTATTGCTCATGCTATTCAAGATGTTTTCTAAGAAAACACAGTTTTTCACATCCATTATTTCCCACGGCATCAAAGTATATGTCTCCAGTGCACAATGCTAAGTGATAAAGGTTGTATGATCACCCTGGTACTCACTGAAAATCCAAATCAAGAAATTGCCTTTGTTTATAAATTTCCTCAGAAACACATTCTATCTTCCCAATCAATAGGGAGACAAATGAGCCATAAGAATTTCATCATTTATCCACGGGCCAACACAGATAATGTTTCCCTAGCACAATGCCACAAACTGTACATTTTCTAAAATATTGTTAATACTTTCGTTACACTGCCCATCATTTTTATACCGTTTGGAAGCTTGTGTGCTAACATTAAAATTTACTAAATTATACATTTCTTTGTATTTTTTTCATGGTGTCTTCTGAATTGGGGTCAAGTGGCAATCCGAGGGCCCCAAATGAATCAACACAGCAGATGTACACTCAGGTGAGCTCGCTGCATTCCGTCTTCTGCTCCTGCTTCCTCCTTCGCTCAGAGTAATTGGTTTCCAGCTAACCCTATTAGTCTCATCACACTTTCTCAGGTGACACGGCTGTGTGGTGATTCACAAAAGGATCTTCCTCAGAATAAAGACCCATGGAATGAGGTTATGCGTCCTATAGGATTAGGCACCTGGGCCACAGATTATTTAGATCATGTGGCAAAAGGGAAAGCAACTTCCTCCAGCAGGTGAGGTTTGAAAAAGTTTTTGTCTGAGAAGAAGAAATGTATAGCTCAAGGGGAACTTAAGGCCCGCCAGGAGATAGAGGAGAAGATTATCTGTGTTTTGAGTCGAGTAACTTTTCACATGGATTTTTGGTTCACATCTGAGCACTTGGATAAAGAAGAATGAAACTTCATTCTTCACTTACGCCCTAAAACCAAATAGAACACTTCACCGGTGTCATAAACAGATTTAATCTTCCCATGCCTTTCTTATTTCTTTTATAAGCATAAATTTCAACTCACTCTCATTAATTTGGTCTGAAAACAATGGGTTACTGTAGTATATTTTATTTTATTTTATCTTTAAGTATATTTTTCTGTTATTTGTTTTGTGTGTCCAGAACCTCCTATTTTCGTTTCATACCCACCATTTTATTCTGTACAGTACATGCAAGAACAGCATGGAAACCTGACTTTAATTAGGCATCTGCTCACAAGCCACATCTTGAGCATTTCGGAGAAAACTGCTTTTATTGTGAATAATTCTTATGAGAAAAGAATCTTTCTTAGCTCTAACTTGAATCTCCTTGATCTAAATCAAAGCCGTGCTTGCCTGCTTCACTATGAAGAAAAATATTAATTCCTCCCACTCCTCATTCCAACTTGGCCCATGGAGGAAAGGACATCCACCTACACCCCCACTGAGGAGTGTTAGTGAGAAAGAGAGAAGAGCTTGACATTCATTCGGCCACGTTTCTCAGGAAGGGTCGCCGAGTTCTGTGTCGGCCAAATAAATCCTCCATTCCCAGATGGAAGAGAAGGAACAGTACTCTTTGCTTCTTTGGTCCCCTGAGAAACACAATGCACTCTAAAACCCACCTAATACCTCTGCTCCAAGGGTACCCTGGGGCCTGGGAAGTCTCCAAAGAAAGGAGCCAAGAGCCCTATTTTTGGCCCCAGGTTAGAATCACATTCTCCAACACAGTTTTCTTTCTCTAACTTAGTTCACATTGTCTAACATAGTGGAGAACAGGCCAGGTGGGGCACTGGTCTGGCTATTTAAAAGAGTCCATCTGGATCCTCATAACCGGGTGCACCTGCCAGAGGTTAGAGGAGATACAGGTCTTAGACCCAGGTACCTAACATCAGTGCTGTCTCAGAGGGCTTTTGCTTTTGTAATAGCACTATGGGCAAGGTAAGGCTGCCTGTAAGGGTTACCCCTCTGTGAAGCCCTGCCTGCCTGTGCAACCACAGAGCTAGGCACTTTGAGGAATCCAGAAGAGAACAAGCCCTTTTCTCTGTCCTCCAGAAGTTTTCAGTTTTATGTCTGTTAGTGGAATGATTCCAGTGACCTTACTATTTCCCTTCGGCCTCATTTTGTGAGATATTCATAATTTTATAGTTTCCCTTCAGGATACTTCTAGTTTCTGAAATGTGATTCTGAGAGTCACAGCGAATTCTACCAGGGTCTCATCCAAATGAAATACCACTTCCCGACCTTGGAGGGTCAAAGCTTTCCATTTGTGTTAAATTTTGAAAATAGCTTCTTTGTCTCCACCTCAGACAGCACTTAGACTGTTTGCGTAGCATCTCCAAGGGAATTTGTGCTTCCTGCCATCCTCGTGTGTCGGGTGTCCTCCAGCCGGGGCCCCCTCCCTGGTCCAAGCACATGTGTGCCACACATTTTACCTCTTGAACCATCTTCCCTTACTGCTTGGTTATAGAACAGCACACAGATCAGGGGGTCAACCTGTTTGGATTCAGGGTCACTGGCTGGTTCAGACTTCAGTGCTATGCAGAATTTTTGATATTGCTACATCTCTAGATTTTTTGTTGTTGTTTCTATTTTTGGTAAAATGGCTTGCAGTTCTATGGATAGCACATTGTGATACTATCTTGTTCCAGTTTCCTGGAGCCTTTAAATGTTTTAATTTTTTTTTTTTATTTCTTCTATTAGTTCATCATTGGGTAGTGTTCACTCATCAAGAAACTCAAGTAAAATTCACATTATTTTTTATTTGAAAGAGAACACATACTGTTCACATAGTGTTTAAAGGGAGAAAAGAGAATATAACATTCTATTTAGTAAAACAATAACAAAAATGTACATAGTAGTTCTATATTATAGACCAAGTTAAAAATCCCACAGAGAGAGGAAGATAGAAATGGAAAAAGCAAGAGGGAAGATCAGGTGGATGCTTAAGGGAATGGAGGGGCACATAGGCAGGGAAAAGGGGGGAGCAGCTGAGAGAAGACACTTTCAAAATAACAGCCCCCCATTTAATATGATGCCACTAAACCATGACACGTTTTCTCTATTAGAACATAAACGAGCAAGCTTAGGGACTTCATTCTCAGAGTAGCTGTGGAGGTAGAATTGAGGGTTAGGGTTCTCCCATTCCTGACTTAAAGAAATATTAGGAAATAGAACAGTTGCATGTGCAGTACTTAGAGAAGGGGCTCATCTAGCCAGGGTTACCAAGGGGTTTGACAGGGGAAGGAGTAAGTCACAAGAAAGGAGGCACTGTTTTAAGCTGGTTTCTACACAAGATGTAACCAGCATTTCCTCTAAACCCGGAGATACATGGTGGAAAAGTGGCAGGAAACCCTGAAACGAGAACACACCTGATCCTGAGCACAGTGCTCCCTCCCTCCCTCCCTCTAGCAGCCTTCCCCACTTTGTTCTGGTTCCCCGATGGGGTACCTCCAGGAGCCTCCTTTTTGTAGACATCAGAGAAGCTGCAGTAGAATGAAGCCAATTCATCCTGACTAAGAACCAGGATGACATTTGTAAGAATTCAGTCCACTAGTATTAAACTCAATCATTATTGAACA